GTTTACTGCTGTTATGCAGAAGTTCGAGCGTAGGTGAATCGCCAAGAATTTCACTAAACATTTCATCAAATACCTGAAATGGTTCCGATGCGGGATCGACTTCGCATATAGCAATAACACGAAGGCTTTGCGTTAGAAATACAACCAAAGCGACGAACGAGACTTTAGCAGACATGTTGTTGTCGTTGTAGATGCATATGCGTACCTCGCGGCTATGTAAACACCCAGGCTAGCTAAATAGATCTCACCACAATGGTATCAATGGCAACGAAGATATTCAAATCTACAGGCAAATAACTCTCACGTTTGAAAAGACACGTCTATTATTTGACGAGAGAAGCGCTGTCACATCGAGCAGTTACAGAATAAATTGATCTCTCGACAATTGTCGTGTCCTTGCCAAAAGAGTTTCTTGTCAATAGTCAGTAAACGAACACACCTAGTGTTGAAGTAGTCTGTTGCCCACTTACGTAACGGGCGTAACGCTATCTTGGAACAATGGGCAATGAGGTTCCCCGACTATCCCGGTTTGTTGCACGTTCTTTCTTTAATATGAAATAATCAAATATGAAACATATGTAATAAAAACAGAATCCCACCCCCACTCCGTGGCTTTCGTTGCGTATGGAAGTTATTTTCACTCGAGATGCGGGTGTACTAGTATTCTGCTGTACTTTCACAGTACGGTCGCAGGATACACCGCATCACTCGTGAAACTCGTGAAAATAACTTTCATACGCAACGAACGCCACAAGGAGGGTGTGGGGATTCTGTCATAGTATTTTTTTCAGTTCCAAAGCTATTTGTGTTTTGAAAAAATAGAACAGCTTTATTTCCAAAACGTTTTCGACACGCAAGTAATTGAGATCTCTCGTGGAAAAAAGAGAGTATTCGCCAGTGTAACAATATAACATGATATAGATATGAACATCGGATACAGCCACATTTACTGTGATTATCCTCTGTGCGGATGAAGAAATCGAAGATGAAATTCAATATGTCATGATATGCCCTTCTTACAATGAAAGATAATCACTATATGAAAAATTTACTAACAAATTTTAACGTAACAAATTTTACAAATTTCACGACCCTCTCGAAAAATGACAAATTTATGTCTTCAATGAGTAATGAAAATACTAGCGTGAACATTGCATTTTCCAAATTTATCAAAATGAATATTTATACAAGACACCTCAATTTGTAGATTTGTTTGTTTATAATATTGTACTGTCATTTGTTTTTATATTTATTTTTTGTATAACCATTTTATGTACACTCAGGAAATTTTGTTTTTAACTACAACTTTTAACATAGTTGGTTTGCGATCACAGATCACATTACTACGCCATTCAATTGTAATTGTATGAGTCCGCAATACTGCACGGATGTTTCGTCACTCCTCAAGCCCACCTCAGTCGTAGTTGTTAATTCGTGTGTAGACTTGTTGTGCACTGAACATTCAATCATTGAAAAATCATAATGAAAAACACGTCGGTGACTCGGTTATTTAATGATCCCATAAGTGTTTTTTTGATTACTTTATTTTTCTTCACGCCTTGAAATGATTGACATACACAGCACTGCGACCAACAAGTTTTCCCAGTCTCGCCGCAAGCGGTCCACCGGGTACCAGAGGCTGAGTCGCAGTAATCCCCCGGCAGATTTAGCGTTGTTTCGCACAAGCGCAAAAAAATCATTTTTTAGAGCACTTTTCGATGAAATTTCAGGAGTTTACGTAACGACATGCCCGGACGGCGCCAACAATACATATTAACATATTGAGTGATCTAAAACAATATTAAAACAGCAGTTTGAAATACATGTACTGTATATGCATTTGCACCACTTTATGAACTCACCACAGTTATAGTAGTAGTATCACACCGTCACCATCGTCCAAATAGCGCGATTTCGTAGATTTGGTGTAGACATACCCACCCACAAACTGATGAGGCGATGGCTGAATAACTATATTTGTTGCGTTTGTCTTTTACTCGACAGTGGCGGTGGCACGGGGGGGGGGGCAAATGGGCGGTCAACAAAAATATTGAGGGCGTCGCCCCTCCAAAATCAAGCTGAAACCCTTTGTGCCAGCAAAATTTGCCCCTTAAAATGCTGTAAATAGCGTTTTAGAGGTTTAGATTTCAAATGTGGTAAAGTCGCGCAACATTTCGTGCCGCTGCCTCTGTTGGAAACGATGTATTTGGTCTTGAATCCCGTAATGTTGACGCGGCATTAACTCTATCTAGCCACATGAGTATTGGGCTTGACGGTGCTTCCTGAAGGCGCTGCCAACCTTTGCTGACAGCCTGAACATATGATCTGTAAAATGGCAACGATAGAGAGAAAGATGGAGCATTGAGTCAGTAAACGAAAAACCATGACATTTCTGATAATTTTAACCCGACCACCTGCAATGACGCAACAGCCATTATCATAAAAAACATTTTATTTGTTATAATTATAATATTATTCTATTCCACCTGATCTATTTTGTTAAAACCACGCCTAGCATTAAACTTATTAGAACTTGAATCGAATGAAACATAATATTGGTATACATGGAGCTCAAGGAGGAGGATGTTTGGGGACTTGATGATTGGGGACACTGATCTTTTT